TGCACTCCAGCCTGGCGCCTGGCAACAAAACAACACTCTACCTCAAAAAAAAAAAAAAAAGGAAAAAAAAAACAAAAGAAAAACAGGCCTTAAAGAAACTGAGAAACTGGCCATAAACAGGATATCTGTAACACTGTGGCATCCTCGGAATGGCAGTGACGCACATTACTAGAGGTTGTTGGTTTACTGGAGCGAGGGAAAGAAATACCTAACCCGCTCTTGGGAGGAAGACCGCTCAGGGCACTTCTGAACCACAAACAATAGCATGAGCGACCTGTGCCTTAATGACATGTTCCGGCTGCAATAGATAAACACGCCAGAGCCCGTTTCTTGCCACTAGTAAAGAATGCTTTGTTCCCTGTGAAGAATGCTTTTAGTTAAATGATTACTATCACTTGCTTGCTGACAGTACATGTGGAGGTCAAACTGTTCGAGGCTCTCACCTGGGACTGCTGAGGCCCCGTTGTCCCACACCTTTTTCTATCTCTGTGTCTGTTCCTTCATTCCTTCAGTGCCGCCTGAGTTGGGGTCTCCACAACCGAGCTGGTCTTGACACCAAATTCATCCTTCAATGTCTACTCTGAGAAAAAGGGTCTGAGCCTTAAATTTTTTTTCCTTTGTTCTCTATCATGACGATATGCTTTATAGGTAAAAGGCCCTGAAGAGGCATTTCAGGAGGAATGGGTTTTGCTTCCTGGTCCCATTGTGCTCACTGGCACACTTCTGCAGCACAGCAGCTTCTCCACATCTGTTCCTGCTGTGATTGGTGGCCAGAAACACTCAGCAGCCAGCAGTATTCCTTAGCACCCTATTGGGCAGTTTTATAGCAACGGCTTCTAGGAGACCCCTCCCCATTAATATGTTTCCTCAGGACCCTAGAAGTGTCAGAAAATTTTAGAGGGTAGATTTATGGTAAGTTTCACTGGCAGATTCCCAATGACTTCTTGCCATTTAATGAGCCATAGCCATACTCTCTTCAAAAGGGTCTCAATCAGCCCTGGCTGGAGGGGAGAGGCTTCTCCTTGGGAACTCTATCGCGCATTAGGGTAGCAGCTGTTTTCTTATATCTGCTATTGCTATTCTCTTTAAAGCTCTCTAGTTATTTTGTTGGTGGTGTTGTTTGAGATGGAGGGAGTCTCACTGTCACCCAGGCTGGAATGCAGTGGCACGATCTTGGCTCACTGCAACCTCTACCTCCTGATTCTTCTGTCTCAGCCTCCTGAGTAGCTTGGACTACAGGCACATGCCACCACACCTGGCTAATTTTCATATTTTTAGTAGAGACGGGGTTTCGCCGTGTTAACCAGGCTAGTCTCGAACTCCTGACTTCGTGATCCGCCCACCTCACCTCCCAAACTGCTGGGATTACAGGCGTGAGCCACCGCACTCGGCCAGCTCCCTATTCTTATTAGCCACTGCTTCATTATTCCAACACCCTGTTATAGCTAATAATTCTTTATATATTAAACTTTCCTTATTCAAATGAATGTGGTTTGTCTCCTGATTAGACCCTGACTGATAAAGATATCTTAAGCTTTTCTATGGATCCATCTATGCCTCGACCTTGTATGTAGAAGGCATTCAATATGAATACAGTTCCTTAGTAGCATCACAGCATACAGTTTTCTTACGTAGTTGTCACAACTTCAGGCACTTTCATCCTTCTCATATTTCTTTAGCAGTTACTGTCTGTGCTCAGGTATCTTGCTGTGTGGCAGGAGGTAAGAGGAGAGAATCGGTAGCTATAAGAATACAACAGCAAAAGTGGCCTTGGTGAATAGTCCAGAATGATAAAAACTTAGAGCACTAAAAAAAATTGAGTAAGATGACACTGCAGAGATAAGCTAGAGTCAGATGATGACAGGCCTTGAGTTCGACTGGGAAAGGCAGTCTGCTGTGGCCTTGGGCATCTCTGCACATGCTTGCTAAGTATGCCAACACAAGGCCGAACTTTTCCCTAATACTGAACCATTTCTAGCTAGTCACATTGGTATTTAAGTAGGTTAAGATGACCACAGCATAACTACCATGCAACAGCTCACTCCCTTAGGGAAGGAGGCTGGTTTGTTTGCTACTTGCCACAAAAGATGCTAGGCCCTTGGCCCTGGATCCCTCAGTCATGGTGCAAACTGCTGCATGTACAGCCACTGTCTGGGCCCATTGCATTTACTCCATAGGACTAGGGGACAGACCAACCAGTGCTACCATGCTGATACTCCTACTGTATGCTGTGTTGAAAAACAAATTTCATCTGATCCACCAAATCTCATCTACATTGGTACCAATGGAGTTGTGGCAGGTGAACCTGCTTTCTTGCTTAGTCATCTCCTTTGGAGTCTGGGGCTCTTCTCTAACAAAAGATGCCATGACACAGGCACACACACACTACAAAATGAGAATAAACATGAAAGATGTTTCCTTATTTGAGAAATGTAGATAACTGGCAAAGCTGTTGGAAACCAGAAAACCATGTAATTTTGAGTATTTAAAATTGGTTCTGTATTGTGATACACCAAGACCAAACTTGAATGTCATTCCACATAGGAATCTAGCCAACAGAATGTAGTTCAGATTTGGGGAATGATGGTGAGGAAACTGTATTTTATGGAATTGCTAACACATTTAAAACAGTAGTTGATAAGAAAAAAGTGTGTTCTGGGTCGGGCATGGCAGTTCACGCCTGTAATCCCAGCACTTTGGGAGGCCAAGGTGGGCAGATCACCTGAGGTCAGGAGTTTGAGACCAGCCTGGCCAACATGGTGAAACCCTGTCTCTACTAAAAATACAAAAATTAGCCAGGCGTGGTGATGTGTGCCTGTAGTCCCAACTACTTGGGAGACTGAGGCAGGAGAATCACTTGAACCCAGGAGGCAGAGGTTGCAGTGAGCTGAGAACGCACCACTGCACTCCAGCCTGGACAACAGATCAAGACTCCATCTCCAAAAAAAAAGTGTGTTCTTTTACTTTTTACAATAAATCCTGTTTGAGAAGTTATGATCCTTGTGTAAAAACATCTGTAGCAAGTTGTCTCTCATTTGTGCCATAATTGTGGGCATTTATGTTTTTAGATTAAATCCTGTATTTGAATAAAGATGTTAACAATACCTTCATGGACTTTTATGGTTAATTTCAGTATGTAAATTAGCATATAGTTCATTTATAATTTTAGGAACTAGTAAACTAAAAAGTATTAAAAGTTCACTCAAATTATCACTTCCTTTGTAACACCTGTCCTGACCACTGCCTTCCTTCCATGTAGAGATAACTTTCATCCTCTGTAGCATCAGGGCTGACGCTCTATTCCAGTTGTTGCAGCCACCTTAACACTTGGTATCTTCATGTGGAGAAAGTGAACTCCCCCAATGGCAGGGACTAGGACTCAACTGCCTCCCCAGCTCAATTCCTGGCTGAAAGCAAAAGCTCAACTAGTGGTGGTGGTTAAAGGAAAAAATGCCCAACCTCACCAGCCCGTAAATGAAAAGCAACCGTGAGATCCCACCTTTCCAACTTCTAAACTAGCAAAGACTAGTTATAAAGAGGAAGTTCTGGAAGGAGTCCAGAAAGCTGCAGTCTGGTCCAACCTTTCTAAAGGTAAATTTGGCACTTTCCCCAAGAGTCATACTAATGTTGTGTAATCCCAAATTCAGGCTCATGTGCCTGATGCAGAGCTGAAGCCAAATGCTAAGACACAGGTGCCTGGAGATAGAGAAAGGTTTGTTCAATTTGGCCAAAGCAAGAAGGTGGAAGAGCAAGATCTCTCAAATGTGGCTTAACAAAGAGATGACTGCAAGTGTTTCTATGGGGCTAGGGTGTAAGGGAGGAAGAGCTTCTGGGAATAGAAGAGGAAAGTCTGTGCCTCTACAGTCTCAGATAAAACTTTGAGCAACCAGACTTATGGGCGTCAGCAGCTGGTCAAAAAGTCCTTAATGGCATTCATTGTTTCTGCAAAATCTTTTCATGACCTTGAAGTTATCTCTCCTGCTAGACAAAGAAACAGGACATCAGCAGTTTATAATTATATTGTGGGAACAAGAGATATTGGGCAAAACGCGAGCACTTACTATGTGCAAGCAAGCAAGGGCCTGATCAGAATTTTCACTATGGCCAGGTGCAGTGGTTCACGTCTGTAATCCCAGCACTTTGGGTGGCCGAGGCGGGCGATCATTTGGGGTCAGGAGTTCGAGACCAGCCCGGCCAACATGGTGAAACCCCGTCTCCACTAAAAATACAAAAATTAGCCAGTTGTGGTGGTGCATGCCTGTAATTCCAGCTACTCGGGAGGCTGAGGCAAGAGAATCGCTTGAACTTGGGAGGTGGAGGTTGCAGTGAGCCAAGATCGCGCCACTGCACTTCAGTCTGGGTGGCAGAGCGAGACTTTGCCTCAAAAAAACCCAAAACACCAAACAGACTTTTCAACATTTCAGTTACTAAAAATGCCAGAGTACTTAAAGCTCAAAGGGCCTGGTTACACTCCGAATGGGGAGGAGTAGGCCAGAGGCATTGGAAAGGGGAGCAGCCTCGACTGCTTTGGCTCCAAACCCGCAAGCCTGACAGAGAACCGGGTGTAATCCACCTCGTGATCAGCAGGGAAACACACGCGCTGGCAGAGGGCAAAGCCTCTTCCTCATTCCCCAGTCGTTGCACTTTTCCCACTTTTATAACCAGAGAGGAAGCACGCGCTGCTCGAAAACGTGAACCGTGACCCATGGGACCCTAGGACCAACCCGCGAGCCCTCGAGGGCTTGAAGCCGGGTTTCGGACACTCGTTCGCGGCCTCGGACTCCCACCTGCCAGCGGACGAATTCCGGCCGCCCAGCACCGGCTTCTAGCTCTCGCCAGGGCTCAAGACCCCGAGGCGGCGAAGCACCGACGCGGCTGCGCACGGCAAGTTGTGCTGGCTGCCGTCCCTCGCGCCCCGCCCGCTCTGGGCGTGTCAGGGTGGGCGGTGCTCAGAAGTGGCCCAGCCCCGGCCCTCGGGTCGCGAGAAAACTTTCCGTCCCGGCCTCAGCTGTTTCACCTGTTGACCTGCTAGAGCTCTACACCGCTTGCCACGTGCGGCCTCTGCTAGATCTGATCCGAATTTCTTCCAAAGACTTCACTACCAACGTGGGGTGAATGAAGGACAGTCCAGAGAACATTTCCCCACCGGCTTCTTTGGCCCGAATGTGAGGTCGTTGAGCGCCCTTCAGCCGTGGCGTTGAGCCTGCCAACACTGAGGCAGGCGGGGTCACCCAATACTTCTGGAGTGGGGAAGAGAAAAGCACAATTAATACTGTCCCTGCCACAGGAGCTCCCGCTTTTGCCAGGGAAACTAGCCTGGAGTGGGAGCCCCTTTTATTTGTTGGCCTTTTATTACACCTAGCGGGGAAAATGGCTTGCCAAATTTGGAGGGTGTGTTAAAGATGATCTGTCTCAATCATCCTAAAAAACATAAAAGTTCGGCCGGGGGCGGTGGCTCACGCCGGTAAGGCAGATAGCTGGCTACAGACACAATCACAGCCCCCTTGGACGGGAACCTGTGAGCTGACGGCAATGAAGCTTCCTAAGCTGATCCAATGCAACCGACCGCTACTGCCGGAACCGGAAAGTCATCTAGGGCGGGTGTTGGAATCGGAGCGGAAGCGGAAGGCGGATACCGGAAACGGTGTTTGGGGGCGTCCGCAATGGCCGAAGCTGCATCTGTAGCTGCTGAATGTCTTGCTGGCTGCAGGGCGCGCGGTGCGCGCTCAGTACTAGGTCAGGTGGTGCTCCCGGGTGAGGAGCTGCTCCTGCCGGAACAGGAGGACGCGGAAGGCCCTGGCGGTGCAGGGGAGCGACCGTTGAGCCTGAATGCTGGAGCGCGCTCGCGGGTACGCGTTATTTGCGGCCCGGGCTTGCGGCGCTGTGGGGACCGCCTGCTGGTCACCAAGTGCGGCCGCCTCCGTCACAAGGAGCCCGGCGGTGGCGGCGGCGGCGTTTACTGGGTGGACTCTCAGCAGAAGCGGGTAAGCTGGGACTCCGGAGTGCTAGCCCTGCTTTAAGAAGACCTTCCAAAAGAAGAAAGGATGGGACTTTGAAGCCCTCCTTGTTCAGGCTAACCTAGAGCCCCTAGAACCACCGTAGTCTTGTGCCCACTTTTCATGTCCTTTAGAGGGTCCGTGAACAATAGGAACATACCCTGAGAAGGGCGACCAGGAGAGAAAAACCTTTGGAGGCTGTCAGTCATGATTATAGTCTTCAAAACCCCAAAGGTCAGGGAGCAGCAGGCTTTCCCTTTGGAGTCTCAGAGGGCAGGACCAGGCTCAATGAGTGGATGTCCAGGGAGGTTAATTTCTCCTAGGACAGGTAAGAATTTTCATACAGAAAAAAATGTCTAACTATGGAATGGGCTTCCTTGGTTGTAAGGATTCCTTTGCCACTTTTATGCTACAAAGCTAGGGACTTACTGTTTGGGGTGCTGAAGAAATACGGGTTTGGGCTCAATTAACAGACTACCAGAAGCTGCAAACCGGACACTTTATGTGATTTTCTTTTACCGAAAGTGGCATACGATCAGATTTCTTTCTTTAATGACAATAAGGTAACCACAAAGGACTAGCTGAAGGTACCTTCCAGTGGTATCTTGTTATTTATGGCTGTTTTCTCATTCTGTTTCCTCTTGTAGTATGTTCCAGTGAAAGGAGACCATGTGATTGGCATAGTGACAGCAAAATCTGGAGATATATTCAAAGTTGATGTTGGAGGGAGTGAGCCAGCTTCTTTGTCTTACTTGTCATTTGAAGGTGCAACTAAAAGAAACAGACCAAATGTGCAGGTAATGATGGGAGCCTTTGGTTTCAAAGCAAGAAAAACATCCATTCCCTAGAACACTCAAATATCCAGAAGGCTACCTGAATTGTCTCCAAAGCATGACCTAGATCTCTGTGCATGGATGTAAGTGCCCCAGGCTTCAAGAGTTTCTTCAGATGCTCCAGGACCAGAGCCACATACTTATTTTACATTGACTACATTTGTTCTTGGCATGTTTCATTTCTACTGAATTGAAAGGTTTTATCTGTCATCTCCATTATTTATGTCCATATCCTCTGGACAAGGAAGTCTTCTGTAGGCTTAGAGGAGGGACAAGTTGTGCACATTTTGACATTATCAGCTATCCATCCATCCTGGCTGTAGGTCCTAGGAACTGAGAGAGGAGTGATATTATTGCCTTGGGTTTTCAGTTTGGGCTTTTCAGGTAGCATAGCCACACTCTTCTTGTCTACCCCAGCCTGACGTTTAGTGATGTCTTTGCTGCTTCTCATTCACTTCTCATGCATATTTAATTGCCTAACCCTATTTTGATCCTATTTGATTCCATCTCTGATCTTTGATAATGGGCATCCCTTTATCTCCACTTTGCAAGTTCAGGCTTTAGCTCCCTCTTGACTGGACTCAGTCACATTAATCCTTGCCTCCACACTTTTACCTCACCATCCAGGGTTTTGAGAGCAGACATCCTCATACAGTCACTTTCTGGAAAAGAAAAAAATAAGATTGTCCAAAATTTACAGAATTCCTTGGCATTACACTGCAGGTGTCTTTCCTTATCCCTAATTATATCCTTCATAGAGCCCTACTTGAATCACACCAAAAACCACTAAACTCAATTTCCTGCCCTTATTTCCCTCTGGATTGCATTATTCCTTCTCAGCCTGTGGAACACATTCTCATCTTTTTAGACTTAGGCTAAACACAACCACCTCTCTAAAGCCATCCCCAGTTGTCACTTGTCTCCTATCTTTGCTCTAGCACTTACTGGATTTAGTATATGTACCTCCCCACTGCCCTCCAAGACCAAATGCTTCTGAAAAGCGGAGAATGTTTTCTTCCTCTATAGTTTACATAGTCACCAACAAACAGTAGGTACTTAATACATTTTGTTGAGTAAACAGAACGAGTTCACTCTCCATTTCCTCAGTTTCATCACTTTAAAGTTTAGCTCCATGAGGTTTTTAAGTCTTGCAGGGAGAAGTGTCAGTCAGTTATTTTGTTTTGCTTTGAATAATTTGCATGCTGTGAGTTCCTTCCTCTCTCTCTAAATCTGTAATTCTCTAGGGTGGTGTCACCTAATATAATTTTCTACAGTGATGCTGTTTTACATCTGCACTGATTAGTATGGTAGCCACTAGCTGTTGAGCACCTGAAATGTGGCTAATGCAACTCAGGAAATTAAGTATCTAATTTTAATTAAATGTGAGTTCAAATAATTAGCTACCTACCATATTAGACAGTGAAACCCTAGAGGTGTTCTCTGGCTTTGAGATGGCTCCTCCTCTGTGATTTCCTGGTTGGTGAAAGGGAATGATACATGCATTCCTTTTTTTCACAAGACTCAACTCCAAAGTGACTATAGAAATCCTGTAGTGTAGTCAGTCCCTTAGCCACAGAACTGGAGGTGGCTGGCATTGATGGCTGTGGGAAAGAACCAATAGCAGCACCTGTAGAGTAGTTTGCTGAGAGGAAATGAACTGGTTTTTAATATCATTATAGGTTGGAGATCTCATCTATGGCCAATTTGTGGTTGCTAATAAAGACATGGAACCAGAGATGGTCTGTATTGACAGCTGTGGACGAGCCAATGGAATGGGTGTCATTGGACAGGATGGTCTGCTTTTTAAAGTGACTTTGGGCTTAATTAGAAAGTAAGTCCTGATGTCTGCTGGCTTCCCTGCCTTTTTTTATAATTATACATTGTTGAAAAGTTGATTACTCTTCAGGATTCAGATTCTTTGTGACATTTGAATTCCTCCTCAAAGATAAAAATCAATATCCATTTTAACACATTTGGAAACTCATAAATTTAATCCTATCTTCTTGTAAACATATAAAATTTGGATGTGTTTGGCTGTGTAGTTTCTGGTGGGCTAATACTTCATGCTTTAAGCTCTTACTCTGTATTCATGTCTTCCCTCCCAGGCCTGTTCCTCAGCTGATATACTCAGCCCAAATGTGAAAACTGGCCTTTCCCCTCTTCTGAGTCAATTGAATACAGATGTACTCTGTAGTTGTTATCAAATTATCAAATTTTTCTAATTATGGGGGTCACACGCAGCTTAGATTGTGATGTTCAAGCTTATGATGTTCAAGCCTATGTAGACATTCACAGAAGGCTTCTGCCATTTGGTCCTGGTAAGTTTAGTAGTTCCCACTGAGGCAGATTCTCTTTTTGGTGTATAGAACTTTACCCATTCAAAGCTGTGCCATATTCAGGGGCTTTACTCCTATAACCAGTGAAGTTCAGAGCTATCTTGTATGCCTCTTCTTGCTACATATCCTAAAGATCTGGAGAATTAAGTTTGGACATCAGAAAAGCGTATTTTTTTTTTTTTTTTTTTTTTTTTGAGACGGAGTTTCACTCTTGTTACCCAGGCTGGAGTGCAATGGCACGATCTCGGCTCACCGCAACCTCCGCCTCCTGGGTTCAGGCAATTCTCCTGCCTCAACCTCCTCAGTAGCTGGGATTACAGGCACGCACCACCATGCCCAGCTAATGTTTTGTATTTTTAGTAGAGACGGGGTTTCACCATGTTGACCAGGATGGTCTCGATCTCTTGACCTCGTGATCCACCCACCTCGGCCTCCCAAAGTGCTGGGATTACAGGCGTGAGCCACCACGCCCGGCCCAGAAAAGCGTGTTATTAACCAAGCAGCTTCCTTGTGGTTTGAAAGAGCCAGTGTTCCTCTCCAAGTACTGAATTTAACACAAGAGCATAACATGGTCAGGAAAGTAAGTGTAAAGTGTCTTTTAGCACTGTAGATAACAAAAAAGTTATGCTTCCCAGTCTAGAATTAAGGTGCTCTGACAATCTAGAGGAATGATTTACATTTTTTGCAAAGCTGGTAACCTAGGGAGTTTGATTTCTTTGTAGGGGATAGCCCAACTTTGTCATCTCTAGTATACCTTTGAAAAGTGTAAAGTTTCTTGGAAGAAAGGAGGCAGCAGATGTCATCATGTGCCTTGTTCTTGTTCAACAACTATGGAGAACTGCTCAGAGAAGGAATCACATTGTAAAGGAGACTACGGACACATCTTTGCCACTTTATTAAATTTCATTTTCTTTTCTCTTCCCACCAGGCTATTAGCTCCAGATTGTGAAATCATACAGGAAGTGGGAAAACTCTATCCACTGGAGATAGTATTTGGAATGAATGGAAGAATATGGGTTAAGGCAAAAACCATCCAACAAACTTTAATTTTGGCAAACATTTTAGAAGCTTGTGAACACATGACATCAGATCAAAGAAAACAAATCTTCTCCAGATTGGCAGAAAGTTGATACAGGTAGGCTTTTTTAATAGGTCAGTTGAGGCAAAAAAAACTATGGGTTTCCTGGGGAAAACTTTTTTTAGGTGAACCTCTCTCCATTTAAATACTCACAAGATAAGGCGTGAATGTACATATTATCTTATTAGAGTCCTAAAGTATTTTTAAAAGTTACTGGTTTTCACCCACACTTTCATGGGAGAGAAAATCATTGCAAAATCAGGATATATTTATTTTGTTCTGTACAATAAAGTTCACTAAAACATTAGTATTATGATTTATTCAGAGTTAACTCCCTTAGTATTGCTAGAATACAGCTTCCATAATTAACTGGAAGTCAGCAGTAAAATAATTTTCTGATTATAATAGTAAGCCACATTCATCAGAGAAAATTGAAACTGAGGCACAGAATTTAACTTGGCCTACATTCTCTACTCTGTATGTTTATCAAATTGAAATTATGGTTTTATAGCTTATATGCCACTTTGTAATATACTTTTGTCTACTTCAAATAGCATGATACGTTCCACAACTTCCATGAAAAATTCATTAGTCACATATTTCATGTTATAGGATATTTTTGATATAGTTTATTATATAAGTAACATTGTGAGGATTTCTGAATCCATATCTGGCCAAGTCTTATTTTACTAAAATCATTTCCTAGGAGCTAAGCAAAAAACTACCTGTTCCAGTTTGGATAAATGGTTAAGGTTTGTAACAGAGTTATAAAGAAAACTCTTCTATGCTATTTAGTATATTAACCAAAACCTTTAGGGGTAAAAAAAAAAAAAAAAAAAAAAGACTGCCTGGTGATCTACATCAGCAATTCTTGGTTTATAGACCTCTTTGAGAATACCTGAGATACGGATCCCCTGAAGCCTATGCATAGAAAGTCCCTTTTGGATGAAAGAGATTTTAGAACTCATTGTTGATGTCTATATGTTGATATAGACCACGGAGTTTGGTGTGTTCCTAATGATGTTTTCTGAGGACTGAATGGTTATTTTTATTTCAATAGCTTTTGGGGGTACAAGTGCTTTTGGGTTGCACAGATGAATTTTTTTATTAAGTTCTGGGGTACAGGTGCAGAATGTGCAGGTTTGTTATATAGGTATACATGTGCCATGGTGCTTTGCTGCATCCATCCCCCTGTCATCCACATTACATATTTCTGTTAATGTTAGCCCTCCCCAAACCCCCACCCCTGCTATCTCTACCCTAGGCCCCCAACCCCCTAACAGGCCCCAGTGTGTGATGTTCCTCTCCCTTTGTCCATGTATTCTCATTGTTCAACACCCACTTATGAGTGAGAACATGCAGTGTTTGGTTTTCTGTTCTTGTATCAGCTTGCTGAGAACGATGGTTTCAAGCTTCATCTAGGTCCCTGCAAAGTATAGGAACTCATCCTTTTTTAATGGCTGCATAGTATTCCATGGTGTATATGTGCCACATTTTCTTTATCCAGTCTATCATTGATGGGCATTTGGGTTGGTTCCAAGTCTTTGCTGTTGTGAACAGAGCTGCAGTAAACATACGTGTGCATGTGTCTTTATAACAGAATGATTTATAATCCTTTGGGTTTATACCCAGTAATGGCATTACTGGGTCAAATGGTATTTCTATTTCTAGATCCTTGAGGAATCACCACACCATCTTCCACAATGGTTGAACTAATTTACACTCCCACCAACAGTGTAAAAGCGTTCCTATTTCTCCACATCCTCTCCAGCATGTGTTGTCTCCTGATTTTTTAATGATCAGCATTTTAACTGCTGTGAGATGGTATCTCAGTGTGGTTTTGATTTGCATTTCTCTAATGACTAGTGGTGATAAGCTTTTTTTCATATGTTTGTTGGCTACATAAATGTCTTCTTTTGAAAAGCGTGTTTATATCCTTTGCCCACTTTTTGATGGGGTTTTTTTCCTTGTAAATTTTATTAAGTTCTTTGTAGATTCTGGAAATTAGTCCTTTGTCAGATGGGTAGATTGCAAACATTTTTTCCCCATTCTGTTGGTTGCCAGTTCACTTCTAATGGTAGTTTCTTTTGCTGTGTGGAAGCTCTTAATTAGATCCCATTTGTCTGTTTTGGCTTTTGTTGCCATTGTTTTTGAAGTCCTTACCTATGCCTGTGTTCTGAATGGTATTGCCTAGGTTTTCTTCCAGGATTTTTATGGTGTTATGTCTTAGGTTTTAAGTCTTTAATCCATCTGGAGTTAATTTTTGTAGAAGATGTAAAAAAGGGATCCAGTTTCAGCTTTTATATGGCTAGCCAGTTTTCCAAACACCATTTATTAAATAGAGAATCCTTTCCCCATTGCTTGTTTTTGTCAGGTTTGTCAAAGATCAGATGGTTATAGATGTGTGGAATTACTTCTGAGGCCTCAGTTCTGTTCCATTGGTCTGTATCTGTTTTGGTAACAGTAATGCTGTTTTGATTACTGTAGCCTTGTAGTATCGTTTGAAGTCAGGTAGTGTGATGCCTCCAGCTTTTTTTTGCTTAGGATTGTCTTGGCTATGTGGGCTCTTTTTTGGTTCTGTATGAAGTTTAAGGTAGTTTTTTTCCAATTCTGTGAAGAAAGTCAATGGTACCTTGTTAGCACTGAATCTATAAATTACTTTGGGCAGTATAGCCATTTTCAAGATATTGATTCTTCCTAACCATAAGCATGGAATGTTTTCCATCTGTTTGTGTCCTCTTCCTTGAGCAGTGGTTTGTAGTTCTCCTTGAAGAGGTCCTTCACATCCCTTGTTAGTTGTATTCCTAGGTATTTTATCTTTTTGTAGCAATTGTGAATGGGAGTTCACTCATGATTTGGCTCTCTGTTATTGGTGTATAGGAATGTTTGTAATTTCTGCACATTGATTTTGTATCCTGAGACTTTGCTGAAGTTGCTTATAATCTTAAGGAGATTTTGGGCTGAGATGATGGGCTCTTCTAAATATACAAACATGTCGTCTGCAAATAGAGACAATTTGACTTCCTTTTTTCCTAATTGAATATCCTTTATTTCTGTTTCTTGCCTGATTACCCTGGCCGGAACTTCCAATGCTATGTTGAATAGGAGTGGTGAGAGAGGGCATCCTTGTCTCATGCCAGTTTTAAAAGAGAATGCGTTAGTTTTTGCCCATTCAGTATGATATTAGCTGTGTGTTTGTCATAAATTGCTCTTATTATTTTAAGATACATTCCATCAATACCTAGTTTATTGACAGTTTTTAGCATAAGGGGCTGTTGAATTTTGTCAAAGGCCTTCTCTGCATCTATTGACATAATCGTGGTTTTTGTCTTTGGTTCTGTTTATGTGATAGATTACATTTATAGATTTGTGTATGCTGAACCAGCCTTTCATCCCAGGCAGGGATGAAGCTGACTTGATTGTGATGGATAAGCTTTTTGATGTGCTGTTGGATTCGGTTTGCCAGTATTTTATTGAGGATTTTCAAATAATCGTGCATATTGGCCTGAAATTTATTTAGTTGTGTCTCTGCCAGGTTTTGGTATCAGGATAATGTTGGTTTCATAAAATGAGTTAAGGAGGATTGCCTCTTTTTTTGTATTGTTTGGAATAGTTTCAGGAGGAATGGTACCAGCTCCTCTTTGTACCTCTGGTAGATTTCAGCTGTGAACCTACCTGGTCCTGGACTTTCGTAGGCTATTAATTGCTGCCTCAATTTCAGACCTTGTTGTAGGTCTATTCAGAGATTCAACTTCTTCCTGGTTATTCTTGGGAGGGTGTAAGTGTCGCAGAATTTATTCATTTCTTCTAGATTTACTGGTTTCTGTGCATAGAGGTGTTTGTAGTAATCTCGGATGGTAATTTGTATTTCTGTGGGATCTGTGGTCATATCCCCTTTATCATTTTTTATTCCATCTATTTGATTCTTCTCTCTTTTTTAGTCTGGCTAGTCTATTTTGTTGATCTTTTCAAAAACCCAGCTCCTGGATTTTTTTTTTAAAGGGTTTTTTGTGTCTCTATCTCCTTCAGGTCTACTGCGATCCTTAGTTATTTCTTGTCTTCTGCTAGCTTTTGAATTTGTTTGATCTTGCTCCTCTAGTTCTTTTATCATGACATTAGGGTGTTGATTTTAGATCTTTCCTCACGTCTCATGTGGTCACTTAGTGCTATAAATTTCCCTCTAGACACTGCTTTAAATGTGTCCCAGAGATTCTGGTACGCTGTGTTTTTTTTCCTCATTGGTTTTGAAGAACAAACATACTTCAATGAAGAACATACATACTTTTTGTCCAGTAGTCATTCAGGAGCAGGTTGTTCAGTTTCCATGTAGTTGTGCGGTTTTGAGTGAGTTTATTAATCCTGAGTTCTAATTTCATTGTACTGTGGTCTGAGATACTGTTTGTTATGATTTCCATTCCTTTGCATTTGCTGAGAAGTGATTTACTTCCAATTATGTGGTCAATTTTAGAGTGAGTGTGATGTGGTACTGAGAAGAATGTCTGTTAGGTTTGCTTGGTCCAGATCTGAGTTCAAGTCCTGGTCCTGGATATCCTTGTTAATTTTCTGTCTCGTTGATCTAATATTAACAGTGGTGTGCTAAAGTCTCCCACTATTACTGTGTGGGAGTCTAAGTCTCTTTGTAGGTCATTAAGAACTTTTTTTTATGTATCTGGGTGCTTCTATATTGGGTGCATATATATTTAGGATACTTAGCTCTTCTTGTTGCATTGATCCCTGTACCATTATATAATGCCCTTCTTTGTCTCTTCTGATCTTTATTGGTTTTAAGGCTGTTTTATCAGAGACTAGGATTGCAACCCCTGCTTTTTTTTTTTTTCCTTTCCATTTTCTTGGTAAATCTTCCTCTGTCCCTTTGTTTCGAGCCTATGTGTGTCTTTGCACATGAGATGGGTCTCCTGAATACAGCACACCGATGGTTCTCGACTCTTTATCCAATTTTCCAGTCTGTGTCTTTTGATTGGGGCATTTAGCCCATTTACGTTTAAGGTTAATATTATGTGTGAATTTGATCCTGCCATTTTGATGCTAGCTGGTTGTTTTGCCCGTTAGTTGATACAGTTTCTTCATAGTGTTGATGGTTTTTACAATTTGGTGTGTTTTTGTAGTCGCTGGTACTGGTTGTTCCTTTCCATGTTTAGTTGCTTCCTTCAGGAGCTCTTGTAAGGCAGGCCTGGGAGCGACAAAAATCTCAGCAGTTGCTTGTCTGGAAAGGATTTTATTTGCCTTCACTTATGAAGCTAAGTTTGGATACGAAATTCTGGGTTGAAAATTTTTTTCTTTAAGGATGTTGAATATTGGCCCCCACTCTCTTCTGGCTTCTAGGGTTTCTGCCAAGAGATTGGCTGTGAGTCTGATGGATTTCCCTTTGTGGGTAACCCAGCTTTTCTCTCTGACTGCCCTTAGCATTTTTTCCTTCATTTCAACCCTAGTGAATCTGATGAATATGTGCCTTGGGGTTGCTCTTCTTGAGCAATCGTATGGTGTTCTCTGTATTTCCTGAATTTGAATGTTGCTCTGCCTTGCTAGGTTGGGGAAGTCCTCCTGGATAATATCCTGAAGAGTGTTTTCCAAGTTGGTTTCATTCACCCCATCACATTCAGGTACACTGATCAAAAGTAGAGTTGGTCTTTTTGTGTAATCCCGTATTTCTTGGGAGGCTTTGTTCATTTCTTTTCACTCTTTGTCTGATCTTGCCTTCTCACTTTATTTCATTGAGTTGATCTTCAATCTCTGATACCCTTTCTTCCACTTGATCGATTTGGCAATTGAAACTTGTGTATGCTTCATGAAGTTCTTGTGCTGTTTTTCAGCTCCATCAAGTTGTTTATGTTCTTCTGTATGCTGGTTATTCTAGTTAGCATTTCATCTTACCTTTTTTCAAGTTTTGTTCCCTTGCTGGTGAGGAGTTGTGGTCCCTTAGAGGGGAAGAGGCGTTCTGGTTTTTGGCAATTTCAGCCTTTTTGCACTAGTTTATTCTCATCTTTGTGGATTTATCTATCTTTGGTCTTTGAAATTGGTGACTTTTGGATAGGGTCTCTGAGTGGACATCCATTCTGTTGATGTTGAAGCTATTTCTTTGTTTTTTAGTTTTTCTAACAGGCCCCTCTGCTGCAGGTCTGCTGGAGGTCCACTTCAGACCCTGCTTGCCGGGGAATCACCCGTGGGGGCTGCAGAACAGCAAAGATTGCTGCCTGTTCCTTCCTCTGGTAGCTTTGTCCCAGAAGGGTACCCATCAGATGTCAGCCAGAGCTCTCCTGTATGAGATATCTCTTAGGATAAACAGGGGTCAGGGAGCCACATGAAGAGGCAGTCTTTCTCTTATCAGAGCTCAAGTGCTATGCTGGGAGCTCCATTGCTCCCTTCAGAGCTGCTGGGCAGGGATGTTTTAACTGTGAAGTGGAACCCACAATCACCCCTTTTCCCAGGTGCTATGACCCAGGAAAGTGGGGGCTTTATTTATAAGTCCCTGATGGGCTGCTGCCTTTTTCCAGAGATGCCCTGTCTAGCAAGAAAGGAGTCTAGTCACAATCTGCCTGCAGAGGCCTTGCTGAGCTGCTATGGGCTCTGCCCAGTTGCTGTGTAAACTTCCCGGTGTCTTTGTTTACACAGGCGAGGTTAGAACCACATACCTGAGCCTCAGTCATGGTAGACATCCTTCTGCCACTGAGCTAGAACATCCCAGGTCGAGCTCAGATTGCTGTGCTGGCTGCGAGAATTTCGAGTCAGTGGATCTTATCTTGCTGGTCTTCATAGGGGTGGGACCCGCCGAGCAAGATCACTTGGCTCCCTGGCTTAAGCCCCTTTTTTTTCAGGGGAACGAGCAATTCTTTCTCTCTGGAGTTCAGGCACCACTAGGGTATGAGGGGAAAAAAATGCTGCAGTTAAAACGGCTGTCAGTATTATGCTGGAAACCTGGGGCGCTGGTGTTACAGGCAAAGGAAGGATTCTCCTGGTCTGCAGGTTATGAAGACTATGGGAAAGGCATAGTATGTGAGCCAGAGTGTCTGGAAAAGTCCCTAATGGCTTCCCTTGGCTAGGAGAGGGAGGTTTCCGGTCCCTTGTTCTTCCAGGGTGAGGCAATGCCACACCCTGCTTTGGTTTGCCCTCCTTGGGCTACATCCACTGCCTAACCAGTTCCAATGAGATCAGTCTGGTACCTCAGTTGGCAATGTGGAGATCACTCATCTTCTGGCTTGCTGTCACTGTGAACTGCAGACTGGAGCTGCTCCTATTCAGCCATCTTGGTGGAAGTCTACATGGATGAATTATATAGTAGTGAAGTCTGAGATTTTGGTGTATCAGTACCTTAGTACTATATATTATACCCAGTACGTAGTTCTTTTTATCCCCACCCAGTTTCTGCATCTTTGTTGCAAAATACATTATTTTTTTTTATGGCTGAGTAATAGTCCATGGGATAAATATACCACATTTTCTTTATCCACTCATTGGTTGATGGGTACTTAGGTTGGTCCCATATCTTTTATTATTAATTGTCTGGCCAGTTTTAAAATAATAGATACTGATAAAATTTATCAGTTCCTTGGGAATTAAATTGTGAAGGGGAGAGGACAGAGCAGAGAAGTAACCTTTTGGTCTTTTGAGATATTGAATACATTTTTCTCAGTTTGCTAGCTACTTAACTAGCAAGTTAACCTAAACTGTCAACGAGTAACTAAAGCAAATACGTCTAACTGGGACATAAGGAGCATGAGATTTGTGTAATAAGAAGTAGGTTAACACTTTCTGGCTATTTTCCAAGACAGACTTTTATCAATACTGTTTCTACTTGACAATTTAATCTGTTAGTTACAAATACATATCAATAGTCTAGTTGGTACCAGGTTCAGAGAGGATAGAAAGTTAAGGACAAAGATTTGTCCTGTTAGGACCCTACCATGAGGAAGGATTAAGAAGAGAAGCCCTCCATGCCCATACTCTGCAAGGGAGAACAGGGTAAGAGCCACAGGAGGGAACATAATCCTATGGGGACTCAGTAGCGATAGGTCAGAACAGGCTGGCTCCTGCAAAGCTTATTACTGAGCTCGGAAACAATGAGCATGGTCAGACAAGGCTGCAGCAAGTCAATTTTATGATGCCAGTTTAGTGAATATTAAACTCTTGATATAACCATTTCAACAATTTCTAGAATAGGTCTCTCACAAATAATAGATGTACAAAAGTTGAATTAGCATATCCAAAGCCATGTGGTTATGAGGCTAATTCCTTTTTACATAAAGTTTTTATTACTTATCTGGGCACTTCCTGTGAGCCAGGCACTATGGGAGATTAAAAGAGCATTAAATGTGGTCCCTGCCACTAGCTTATTGTCAGTCTCTGAGAAGATATTAAGTAAAGGCAATTATGTGCCCTCCTGTTTGGTCAAGGTACCTCTAGCACCTCACTCCTCCAACTACAATCTTTTTTTTTTTTTTTT